AAATAGGAGCGGAGAAAAAGGCAAAACAAGTAAGTGAAACTTAACATTCATGTATATATACTGAAATGAAGCACCACTGTCCCTGGTCTATGTGGTGAAATGGATTGAACCCAGGACTTCTTGTATGGTAGGCAAATCCTCCATCAATTGAACTAAATCTCCTACCCTAGTTTCAAAACAAAACAAACATTCTTTCATCTGTTAATACCATGTTATTTGGTACCTCTTCTCCGCTCCTATTTAGTGACCCTTAGATTTGAATTTAAGGTTCATCAGTCTAGAATCTTGGTTTACAAATTATACAGTGACAGTAATGCTTTCTCTGACTTCCTATTTGGGCTTCACTACTGTTGCATTTTTGTTTTAGTTCAGTTCATTGCATCTCCTTTTAATGTTTTTTTTTTATTTAAAATCTTAGCCCTTTTTAATGTCTTATTAGCAAATTGGTGATTGTTTTAAATCATACTGAAGAACAAGGGTATACATTTTTCTGATACCTTTTTTTTTTTTAATCCACAAAGAAAATGTTTATTCCCCATAGGCTGCACTGTATTTTTCCTTATTACTGTAAATCCTGAATGAATAATAGGCCTACTAGATCTAGCCAGAAATGGTATTTAGGACCTCTCTGGTTTGAAAACTCCACCATCCCTGTACCATTATATTAGAGAAATGAATCTTCAATATGAGTTTGCTAGAGACAAACCATATTCAACCCATTATACCAATGATGTATATGATTTATCCCTATAAACCCAGCTACTCTTCATTTGGGTGCTGGTAAAAATCCCTTTTTAAGATCTATAGGGAGGATGGAATATTGTGCATATCTTTTTAAATATATTCCAATGTTTATATACTGTTGCTAGGGTATGTCTTTTTTTTTTCCATTTCATATATGTTAGACTAACCTAGAATCTTATATTCCTATGTGAGTTTAAGGAAAAACTTTACATCGGTGTAATTATTTGGTGGAAATATGCCATTGCATGCCTATTTAAGCCTTTTCATCTTTTCATATGTTTCTTCTCTCACACTCCAACCTAATATCTACTGGGGGGTTGTACTACCAAAAGTATTAGAAGTTTGGTACATAGTCCTGAAGATACCTGGTAGGTGCTTTGTCTTGGAGGCAGTTAACCACTCTCACTGCTATAACAGTGGTAAATGCTTGAATCTTCTAGGAAGTCAGAACATTTTTTTGTATGAAAGGTCAAATAAAACCAGGCCAGGTAGTTTGAGTGTATAGAACCCAGCTGCACTAGAGGCTTAGGAAGGAGGATCATGAGCACAAGGCCTGTCTAGGCTACAGAGTGAGGTTAAAGCCAGACTGCACAATTTGGTGAGACCCTGTCTTTAAAAAAAGTGTAAGGGAGGGATTGGGGAGTTGACTCAGTGGATGAACCACTTGCCCTGCAAGTGCAAGGACCCAAGTTTGAATCCCAGAACCCATGTAATAGCCAGGTGGGGATAATTCCAACATTCCAGACCTAATAATAGGATCCCCAGGGCAAGCTGGCTAGCTAAATTATTCAGAATAAGGAAGTTCTTTGTTTAGGGAGAGACCTCTTCTTAGTAAATAAAGTGAACAGTATTCAAGGAAGATACCCATTGTCAACTTTAGGTCTCTTCATGCATGAATATCATACAAATATACACATATTTAAAGGTGGGGGGGTCATTTAGATGACTCAGGGATCTGAGTTTGATCCCTGGAACCCACAGTGGAAGGAAAGAATTCCTGAAGCACTTCTCCCCTTGTGATGCTAAGTCATAATCTTAAATGAATGACCATTGACAGTGTTCAGGTGACTTTACTTATAAAATCAACTGCTGGGCTTGCATGGCAGGCCAGTTTGCCTCCCCCCTGTTCTAAGCAATTAGTTTTGGGTATTTAGTAAGATATTTTTTCAAACTGTTTTCAAGTTATGATTTCATTACACATTCCATATCCTGGCATTTATTTTTAGTTTTTCTTCTTTGCATTGGAACTTTTCTTCTTTTATACTAAGTTTTAGTGAGAAACAGTTTCAGGATTGTTATGTACGTGAAATCAAGTCCTCTAGCATCCTGTGTTGTAATTTGGCAAATTTACATTTTCCATTTTATTAGGGTAATTTGACAAGCTTGCAGATACTAGTACTTTGTGGGATGGTAAAGTGCCAGGCAAGTTAGTTCCCACATACTGTGTTTTCACATTGATATAATTTGTAAGCACTGGTTCAGTACCTGCCTAGGACTTGAATTAATGTGGCTTTTCCGGTATGTATGCTATAATTCTAACACTCAGGATGTAGGAGGGTGAGAGGAGGAGGATCTTGATTCAAGGCCAGCCCATGCAACACCCCCTCTCAGAAACACAAAAAACATTGTTTTGTTGGCTTTTTAAAGAGGTGTTTTTAGTGTTACATAAGATATTGAAGCATGTGATTGATGAGTCACAGGGTTCAGAATTGATATATTTAAGTAAGAGACCAGTCATAGGTTCTATGGCTTAAATACGTGTACTTCCTTAAATATACACACAACATAGATACTACCTGGGTGTCTAGGCTTTATACCATGGAGAAAGTAGTTAAGAAATAGGGAAGGGTGTGTGTATGTGTGTATATATATGTGTGTGTAGAAACCCTTTAATAGTGATCACATTTAACATTTACTAATCATTTTCTACATATCAGGTATTAGAGATACCAAGGTTACTTTTTAAAAAATATGTCACTTTTATGGGACTTGAGAAGTGGTTCAGTGGTTAAGAGTGCCACTTACTGCTTTTGTAGAAAATCCAGGCTCAGTTCCCAGCACCTGTGTGGCGACTAAGCCACCTGAACTTTCAGTTCCAGGTGATATTATACCCTGTTCTGGCCTCCGTGGGTATTGCTTACACAGGTGCACTTAAATATTTACAGGCAAAACACATTTTTTTAAATAAGGGAAAGGGGGGAAAGTCTGACAGTTCTAGAGATTTATAGTATAATGAAAGAGATCTTTGATGAATTATTATGATATAATAATGCAAAATATATCTAAAGTTAGAAATTGTATTGTTTCTTGGATACTACTTTGTATATTACCAAAAGACAGATTTTACTAAATACCATTATTGTATATAAATATATTGGGAAAAAATATTGGGAGGATAACTGGCAATTGAGCCCAGTGCCTCATGCCTCCCAAGCATGTGCTTTACCATAGAACTATTATCTCTGGCCCTCCATCATTAATATTCTTTTTTGTTGTTTTAATTTTTGATAGAATTATTTCACTGTGCAGGCATGGAACTCACTATGTAGGCCAGGGTGGCCTTGAACTCAGAGATCTACCTGCCTCTGCCTCCCATGTGCTGGGATTATAGGTATGCTCCTCCACATCTGTCATACACCTACCTATCTATCTATCTATCTATCTATCTATCTATCTATCTATCTATCTATCTATCTATCTATCTCTATCTATCTCTAAATTCTATGTGTATGAGTTATGCCTGCATGTACATAAGTGCACCCGTGTCGAGCAATGCCTACGGACAGAAGAGGCTGTAGAATCCCCTGGAACTGGAGTTACGGACAGTTGTTAGCTGCCGTGTGGGTGCTGGGATTCAAACCCGGGTCTTCTGCAGGAACAACCAGTGTTCTTAACCGCTGAGCCATCTCTCCAGTCCCATACACAAATATTTTTAATAGTGCATTGTTGTGTCAGCTCTTTGTTAAAATGCTCCCAGTTATGTCATGAGTTTCTTTTGTGTATTTAAATTTTTTTGTCTTTTTGAGACAGGGTCTCCCTGCAGTTCCCCCTGGCCTGGAACTCTTCTATGTAAACAAGGCTGGTCTTGATCTCATAGAGATCACCTGCCTCTGCCTCCCGAGTGCCAGGATTAAAGACGTTTGCCACCATGCCCGGCTCTTTAAATGTTTTTTAATTTTATGCGTCTTAGTGTTTTGCCTACATTTAAGTATATATGTGCAATGCCTTCAGAGGACCAAAGAGGACATCACTTCCCTTTGGAACTGGAGTTAAGGGATGGTTGTTGGCCACCATGTAGGTACTAAGAATTGAACCTATGTCCTCTATAAGAGCAGCCAGTACTCTTAACCTCTGAGCCATCTTCCAGCTCTCTTTTGTTTTTTTGAGACAGGGTCTCAAAAATCCCTGCCCTCCAAATTTTTCGTGTGTGTGTCTAGATGTACATATGCCATAGTATGCCAGTGGAGGTCAGAGGATAACTCTTGAGAGTTCTGTCCTGCCACCTTGAGGATTCTGGGGTTCAAACTCAGATCATCATGCCTATATACAAGTGCCTTTACCTGCCTTGGACCTTATTTTCTTTATAGTTACTTCAAATCAGATCCATAAATTGGATTTGATTGATAATCCATCCTCTGTAAATTGTACCACCTCTCTTCTTACATCCCTTTTTAAAAATATACCATTTGCTTGATGAAGAGACTAGGACATTTTCTCTTGAAGCTTTCCCCACCTTAGGGATTGCATTGCCTGCAACTTAGTGGTGGTATTTAGCAGGAGAGTCTGTCTCTGTACTTCTTAAAAGTGGTGATTAATTTTACAGACTTGATCAAATTCAGACTCAACTGGAGGGGTATTTCCAGAACTCTTAGTTGATTAGGCTGTGTACTTTCAGTTACATTATGTTAGGAGCTATAGAATGTCTGATTGCCTCCTTGTAGTTTTCTTAAAAATATTTCTGCTTCTAGGGCTGAGGTTGTCAGTGATAAGAATAATTGCCCAGCTTGCACAAAGCTGTGGGTTCAGTCACCAGCAACATATACAACTGCTGCTTGTTTGTTTTACATCCCATTGTATCCTATGGAGCATCAGTGCTATCCAACAGAACATTTTTATAATGATAAAACCAGTCTTTATCATCACTGTCTTGATTTGTTGACCACTAATCATGGAACTGATGAATTTTAAGTTTAGCCAAATGTTTATGACTCCTGGCTGTTGCAATGGAAAATACAGTAAGACTTTCAGAGCAGTATTAAATAACAAAGGTAATTATAAATGACTTTGTTCCCATCCTATTTCATCAGTAAGCCTATCAACTTTCAGCACTTTTAGTTGAGAAAGTGTAATTATGCTCATGAACATAATGTGTTGTTTGATATGTGTACAATGGAATAATGACTAAGTCTAGGTAATTGTCATTTCTGTCACCTTGCAAATCTATCATTTTTTTATGGTCGGGCATTTGAAATTTGCTATTGTTTTGAAATATACAATACATTATTGATTATAGTCTTTTCTTTATACTCCATTCTCTGGTAACATCATTTTACTCTTCTGTGAATTCAGTGTTTTTAGATTCTTCATATAAATTGAGATTTTGCAGTATTTGTGTTTCTATGTAGGCTTAGCATTGTCTTCCAAGTTTACCCATGTTGTTGCAAATGACTGGAATTTCCTTCTTTGTGAACTGTGGTTTCCTTCTTTAAGGCTGAGTGGTTTTCCATTGAATATAAGCTACAATTTCTTTATCCTGTCATTCATTAATGAATTCTTAATTCTGTATCTTGGCTGTTGTGAACAATGCTGCAATAAACGTGGATGTGCAGTCACTTAACATAATGATTTTAGTTCTTTTTGCTATATGCCCAGAGAGTACTGGATCTTATGGTGATTCTATTTTTAGTTTCCTGAGAGACCTCTGTGTATTTTCCATAGTGATTTTGCTAATTTACATTCCTGTCAGCAGTGTACAAGAGTTTCCTTTACTCCACATTCTTGCTAACACTTGTTATCTTTGTTCTTTTGGTTGAAGAGCCATTTTAACAGGTATGAAGTGTTGCTTCATTGTGGCTTAATTTGGTATCAGCTTTTTGTACAATATATATGTCATAATTGCATGATTTTTATTTTTCTTAATGGGTCAGCGATCTAGGGCAGCCCTGCAGAGGTACCTGTTCTACTGTAATCGCTATATGAACCACATGCAGAGTCTACGCTTTGAGCACAAACTATATGCTCAGGTGAAACAGAAGATGGAGGAGATGCAACAGCACAACATGTCCTGGATTGAGGTTCAGTTCCTGAAGAAAGCAGTTGATGTCCTCTGCCAGTGTCGTGCCACACTTATGTACACTTATGTCTTCGCTTTCTACCTCAAAAAGAATAACCAGTCCATTATCTTTGAGGTAAGAATAGTTCCTGAATGGGGGAAAAGACCACCTTCTTTCATAGAACTATTTGGTCTTTCATAGATAAGTTGTATACAATTTTAAATCTTCTCTATTCAAAAAGTATAGCTAAAAAAATACTCCCTATGAGGAAGATAGGAGCAATTTCTACTACTTGCCCAAAACTACATTCACATTTATGTGCTTTAACTAATTAGTTATTAACTGTGCTGGCTCTATAATCTGCCCTAGAGTTGAAATTTTGCCTTATCACCTTTTAGGTCTGTTGACTTGGAGTAATTTTTTCCTCAACGTCCCATAGTTCATTTTGTTTTCTTTTTTGATCTTTGATAAGTTCGAGTTTTTTTTTTTGTTGTTCTATGTGGCTTTTTTTGTGGGAGTCGTCTTTTTGAGACAGGGTCTCCCTGTAGCCTTAACTGACCCGGAACTTGCTATGAAGACCAGGTTGGCCTCAATCTCACACAGATTTGCCTGTCTCTGCCTCCTTAGTGCTGGGATTAAAGGCAGGTACTACCACACCCAGCTTCTCTTTTCAGAGTTTTGTTTTTTGTTTTTTGGTCTTTTTCATACAGGGTCTCCCGGTCAGCTTGCTTGGGACTTGTTATGTAGACCAGGCTGGTCTCCAAACTGAGATCTTCCTGTTTCTGCCTCCCAAGTGTTGGGATTAAAGGTATGTGCCACCACACCCAGGTCTTTTCAGATTTTTTGAGACAAGGTTTTACATAGCCCCAGAGAGCCTGGAACTTGCTAGGTAAATCAGGCTGAATTAGAAGTCACAGAGATTCATCTCCCTCTGCTTCCTAAATTCTGGGATTATGGGATGAGCCACCTACCTGTCTGTTCTTTATTTTATATCGGAAATATTTACCATTGTAGGATATTACGAGGTTTAAGTGAAATAATCCATATAAATTGCTTATTAGGATGTGGTACATCATAAATTTTCAATAAGCACAAAACTCACCTATGTTTTTTGAAGTTAATACGGCGGTTACCTTTGTTGGAGCTGAGATGGCTAAAAAGGGGAGTTTGTAGCAGTAAAAAATTTTCAAGTAAAGATGTTCTTTTAAAATTGATACATGAAATATTGATGTCCGTAGATGATGAATAGATAATAAATGGAGATTTAATGGCAAATGGAGATTTAAATGAGTCACCCATGTAGAGGTGACAGTAATAGGAAAGAATAATGTGATTTTAATCTTGTATATAGTGTGAAATAGATGTATTTGGCTGTATTTTTCAAGTTTTTGTTTCTAGTTTTTCCCAAAGAGCTCCTCTCATACTTAGAAGAGTCCAAAGACTTTCAAATTGTCCTCAGTATTATTCCAGAAGCAATGTTTGAATTTTAAACAGTTTTAAAACTGTTCTGCCGGGCATGGTGGTGCATGCCTTTAATCCCAGCACTTGGGAGACAGAGACAGGCAGATCTTTGTGAGTTCGAGGCCAGCCTGGTCTACATAGTGTATTCCAGGACAGCTGGGGCTACAAAAAGACAAAAAAAAAAAAAGGCCACCACCAACAAAAACTGTTCTGGAGTAGGAAAGAGTTCTGGTAAAAGCCACAAAGAGTTTTTACAAGTATAGTTGAAACCACTTACCCAACATATACTGTCAGTGTTGGGAGCAAGTTTGTAGTCTGCAAACCAGCTAAAATGGTGTATTAGTTACTTTTCTGTTGTGATAGAAACACTGACCAAAGTAACTTATAGAAGAGTTTATTTGAGCTTACAGTTCAGGGGAATTGCAGTCTGTCATGGTGGGTAGGCCTGCTCGAGCAGTAGTAGAAAGCAGAGAGTGCACATCTTCAAGCCAGCACATGAAGCAAGAGAGTAACTGGATATCCTGCAAGGCTTAAGAACTACTCTAAGCTGCCCTCAGTGACATGCTCCCTCCAGGAGAGCCATACCTTCTAAGACCTTCCAAAATAGCACCACCAACTAGGGTCAATATGTCCATATACTTGGACCCTATGGGGGACATTTTCGTTTAAACCACCACAGATGGTTAAACATTTTTGAAACCAGAATTTACGTGATACTCTTTTTTTCTTACAGAATAATCAAGCAGATCTAGAGAATGCCACAGAGGTGCTTTCGGGCTACCTTGAACGAGATATTTCTCAAGATTCTCTGCAGGATATAAAGCAGAAAGTACAAGATAAGTACAGGTGAGATTTAAATCACTGGGGGGCAAAAGTTTCTGCCAGTAATGGCCTAGAATGCCTTAGCGGGGAAGTTTTGTGTGACAAAACACATCTCATGACTGGAATTTGATGTCAGGTTTCTCAGACTATTCTGTCCATTGTACAAGAAGCTGCATAGATTAGAACTGATGAAGTAGAGAGGCCAGTTCAGCCACCTTAGTGACTGATTCTAGTGCAGTTGATCTTTTAGCTATTTAATATCTATAGGGAAGAAAGTTTACAGGGGGCCAGTGACCATTATTTGCATGAGGAGGTAAGAACAGGATGTTGGCTTTGTCCTGGGAATCTTGTGGGTCATGACTATTTGCAAATGAACTATGTAAATGACTTTAGAGTTTTTGTTAGCTTTTATCTCTATGGAAAGAATTAACTCTGCTTTAGAGGTAAACGATACTTTAGGATATGATGCCTTTCAACCTACAGATACAAGACTCTTTTTCAACACAAGACTCTTCCTCCCAAAGTGTTTAACTCATATACTTTTTTAATATTAGAAAACTGGGAAATTTGGAGGGCTTGGTGGTTTGATTCTAACGTCTTGACTTCCTTTGGCAAACTGTAGCCGCTTCATTGTGTTCATAGTGCCTTTACAAAGTTAACAGAGGCTCCATAGACGGGAATAAGTAAATAATGAAACTTCCTGCTTCTAAAAGTCATAGTAGTTTGTAGAACTATGGGTTAGAATCATGATTTCTAAGGCCCTTCAGAACTTGTTAGGACTCTGAAATTAATTTCTAGGATTGGGAATCATGATTTTGAAAGAATACTGTTGGGCTAATAGTATAGCTCAATGATAGCTTGTTTGTCTAGCACGCATAGGACCCTGGGTTGGGTTTCCAGCCTCAAAAGAAAGCAAAAAATTCAATCTTCAGAATGGTTTGAAGCAGTTTGATGTATCTGTATAGTAGTTAGCTGCTTTGTTCAAAATCTGAACAAACTTTAGGGGTGCCTTTAAAAGTAAGTAAATGCCTCTTTTTTTTTTTTCCCCCATCATCAGAGGCTGACAACAAGTTTTTTTCTTTTTGATTACAGATACTGTGAGAGCCGCCGAAGGGTTTTGTTACAGCATGTGCATGAAGGCTATGAAAAAGATCTGTGGGAGTACATTGAGGACTGAGAATGGCCCTGCATAAAATGAACTCTGAAAATTTTACCATCTAGAGTGCTCATGCAATTAAAACAAACACAAACAAGGAGGCACTAAGCCTATCTGACACTGCTGGTCTGTAGTACCAGAATTGTTTTGTTAACGGAAAGTTTAAATTATATTGTAATAAAAAAGGTAGATAAACCATTGTACAACAGTATTCTAGGCCGCCAACAAAAGTGTGACAGACACACTAAAAGCCCTCCAACTTTAACTTGTAACGTAGCTTCATTCTCAAAGCTGACTACTTTTTTTCTTTCTCTTTTTCCTGAGTGTAGTACAGTTAAAATTTCAAATAGCTCCTTGACACTGCTTTTCATGTCCAAACCAGCCATTTTGTTGTACTTTGGTAATGGAGCCCTTTCCCTTCCTCCCCTGCATATACAGATACACCCACACTGACTCACTTTCTTTCATACTCTAAGGTCATGAGTGAATGATGATTATTAGCTACTTGTAAAGGAAATACTTGGGAGGGGGAAGTGGGTAGGCAGCAAGGGGATTAAACAACACAAAAACTTTGTATATGACTTTTAAAACAAGAGGACAACACAGTATTTTTCAAAATTGTATATAGTGCATATGCATGGACAAAGCAAGCGTGGCACGTGTTTGCATAATGTTTAATTACAAAAAATATTTATTCTTTAAAAAGCTTCAAGATTATGTCTATTTGCTGTGCATTTTCTTTCAGTTCACTTTATCTTTCCAGAGTTGGGGTTGGGATAAAAATGTGTTTGTTTAGCACCTCTGGAAGACCTAACTAGAGTGCTTCAGTTTCCCTTTCCTGAGGTCACTTTCCTGAGGTCACTGCCCTTTTTGATGTGGTATGCCTTTTGTTTGGCTGTGGACCTCACACCTTGAATTCCCAGCTCTCTATCTAGAACAGGGAAGTCAAGTTCTGAATGGATGCCATCATCTGTTAGGTTACAGGGTTTTTTTGCTCCGGTTCATGAATGATCCTGCCCCAACCTGCTCCTCCCTGGCCTTGGCACCTCTGCCCCCAGCCCTTGTGTGACCATGTCATGCATACAGCTGTAGGTTTCCTAGGCTCCCCATGACATCTGGAGGAAGCATTGCAAAATTTCTTTTCCTGGTCTTTTTTCCCTGAATTGCTGCTTTGAGCCTTTTAAGATTTTAGTTATGGCTCATCTCTCATCCCTTCTTTCTCTATGTTAGGGTGTTGAATACATTGTTTTCGCTTTAAATATAAATAAATAGCCATTCACTTAGTCTCAGATTGTGAATTTAAAATGGTGGATATTGAAATTGCTTGTGTGTGTTGCGGTGGGTTCAGTTTGAAACAAACACCCCTAGAACACTCTCCCATCCAGTGCATTTAAGTAGAAATCACTGAGTTTTCTTCTTTTCTATTGTCAGCAGATAGGAGATTAATAATGCATTTTAGCTGTGATGTCCATATTTATGAAATTTCTACTAAAAGCTATGTTAAAGTAAAGGATGGTGGTAGTTTTATTAACTATATACCTATTTAGGCCATTCTGCCTGTGGTTTTTTTCAACAGGTCAGCATCCCTAAATCTGTCAGTTTTATACAAGAGTGCAGAGTGAACTAGGCAGCTAGATTAGGAGGTATAACTATTAAACACCAGTTTTGACTGAGGACCTCTTTGTCTTCCTTTAACTGTCCTGTGCCTAGGGAGTGTTTACTATTTGTGAGGCAGCTCCGTCTGCTCTTGCATTGTACATCTTACTACTCCATTGGGAAGTAGCTTCACTTTCCTCTGGCCTTTTGCCTAAGTTAGGCTTTGCTGAATCAACCCTACTTTTCCTTTTAGAAAAGGTTACACGAGATGTACTTGCAACTATTGTTTTCCCATAAAAAATCAGTGAATATTTGCTGAGTATATTATGCTGCTTCCTTTAAACCACTTGTTGCTTTAGGTTCAACTTTCCCTGTTCCTTCTTTCTTCCTTGCCACTTCAGGTGCAAATCTGAACTCAGTGTTTGCTTCTTCCATTTTTCTCTTCTCTCTTCCCATCATCCGTTTGACTTTATTTTGCTTTAAATAATTGCATCAATCTTAAAAAGACATTTTTAAAACCAAGGAGATTTTTTTCTTCAAAGAAAGCTCAAGTAAGTTCCTTTCCCTGGTAACTTTGAAAAGCAACCAGAATTGTTACATGGATATATGTAGTCCCTTAAAATGCTTTGTGTATGTAATGTTTAAAACATAAACCAGTTAACTTTCCACTATGTAGGTCTGAGTGTCCTGAATACTTTTCACATGCTCCCCTTACAACGAGTATCCAAAAGCTGTGTGTGCGTGTGCACTTCACAGGCTCAACCTCACCCATGGAAGAACAGTACATTTAGAGATGCTTTCTGGTTCCAGTTTTGGCATGTGACCTGAGGGTATTGGCAGTTGTGGGTGCACTCCCAGGATGTCAAAGTGAATTGACCTGACTTCTACTTCCAAGCTTTTAACAACTGTCTCCTCCATATCTGACATAATTCCCAGAATTAACTGCTTTTGTTAGTAACTTCAGTGCCCCCAGCTGGGATAGGCAAGCCATATTGTATGACTGCTTCCCTTTTTCAATTAAATCTGTCAGAGGGCTCTGCTTACAATAAGCACAGAGTCTACCGGTGTTGTTGAGGTCAGTTACATTGTCTTTTTGAAAAGTGCATGCTTCACTTGAGCAATTCATTGAGCAGCAGATGGAGTTTCAATAATTTACAATACAATTTTGATCCAAAGCTCAGGACACATAACCATAGTGGTCATATGGAATAGCATATAATATCACCAGACTCTAAATTCTGTGTAATTTGTTGCGATCCAGATTGTATATGTTTTATGTGTGTTTAAATAAATATATTAAATACACATGTGTTATATATACACACATATATAATAGATCGAAAACTGACTGACTTGATTTGAAATGGTTGAATCTGCAGTGAAATGTGTGGTTCAACTGTGATTAGAAGGTGAAACTTAGTACTAAGAGAGTAAGGGGACTTAATGTAATGAATTCTTTTAGCTGCATATCCTGGTATAGAGCACTTGGGGGATGGGATGGGGTGGGTTGGTGAGACAATCAGATCGATAAATTGATTAAATGCTCCTAACCCTGTAATTTTGTGCATAGAGCACCTTGTGCTGTGGAAATAACTGTTCTTAGATTTTCATTGTAACTGGACTGTTCAGGTTGCCCAGAGGGAAAGAACATTCCTAATTCTAATAAAATAAACTTTTATTTTGTTATTCCATTAGTTACTTATGTTTATTTTTAGAGTTGAAAGATGATGACTTAGGTGGATAACAGCCACCTGTGTAATGTGCCTTATTCACTGTTCCTATAAACTCAAGATGTGGTTCAGGTTCTTGCAGGGAACTGTGAATGAGACTGTCCCCAACATTTAACTTGACTGATACCTTCAAAACTTTTCCTGAAAGCTTTCTGGTTTCGGTGTCTTAAACACCGAATTTAGATTGTTGTTTGTATTGTAAGTGATATATAGTAGACGCTTGGTGGGTCTTGGAATTTCAATTTTTGAAAAAATAAGACATTTTAGAAGTTATTCTCAATCGCTAAATTATTTCCCATTACTTCCATTTAGAAGCTGATGTTCCCTATGGGGATAAAGGCAGAACTGTCTTAAAGAAGGTCTCAAAGCTGGAGGTATTTGGTTCTGATACTGTTTATGATGTTATAACCATGTCTAGACTTTAGGACAATTTAGTCTTGCTGGATCTATAGTAGGACAGGTATCACTTCCATTTTCAGACATTCTAAAACAGGTGGAATAAAAATTATGTTGTACAAAAGAGGAAAATAAGGTCAAGAAGATTAAATAACCTGCCTAAGATTCCTCCATTTCTTCTACCCAAGCCACATTGGAACTACCTCTCTATAATTTAATGACCTATCAGTTCAGGATCAGGAAAGGTGGTTTTTAGTAGTGTACTTTTTCGTTTGTTTTATGAGACAGGGTCTCCTGTAGCCCCAGCCAGCCTGGAATACACTGTAGACGAGGCTGGCCTTGATCTCCAAGATCTGCCTGCTTCAAAGACTATGTAAATGCCCATGAGTGCTCCTTTTTAAAGGATTACTGTATTTCTGATCTTTAGTTGGCAAAACTCGAAGCTGATGTGGTCCTGTTTTTACTAGAAATCAGTCATGAATAGAAAACAGTCCTTGCTACCTTGCACCTTAGAGCAGCCAATCCCCACGTAAAGATTACCATGTTATAGTTGAGAATAAATGGTTTTGTGTGTGTGTGTGTGTGTGTGTGTGTGTGTGTGTGTGTGTGTGTGTGTGTGTGTGCGTGTGTGCGCGCGCGCGTGCACAGTTGTTTACTTCCACTATAAAGATTTTGGATAGTCTACTGGAACTTGTTGGAAGGTTTACTTTATAGCTGGTAACTGAAAATGCACAGAACAGTTTACTTTTGGTAATGGGTTTGGATTTTTGTTTTGTTTTGAGACAGGCTTTTGTGTAGCTCATGTTGGCCTAGAACTCCAGATCCTCTGGCCTCTACCTCCCAAGTGCCACCATGCCCAACTTAGCAGATAACTATTTGATTTCAGCATTTTATTGTTGCAACTGGAAAAGTGGTTTTGTTTTTAAGGCAAGATCTCAGCACTGTAGCTCTGGCCAGCCTCTAACTTACAGCTTTCTTCCTGCTTCTGCCTTCTGAATGGTGGCATCACAGGTGTGCTCCACCATACGTGTCACCTTTTAAGCTTTTAAGAAGATAACTAAGCATAAAAGGAAAACTTTGGTTCCTTCAGAAACAGGAAGATAGGTGGTCTCAGTTTTTTAATATTTCTTTGTGAAAATTAGTATATATTTGATTCATCTTAAGGAATGTGCTTCTGTTTTCCAAGGTGAATTAACCAGCCCAGAAGTGCCCAATTGGAAATCAGTGCTGACTGAGTAAACAGGCAACTTTGGGATTTTTATTTATTTGGCATAGGGGGGGTGTGTGGGGACTAGAAACCATTATTAAGGCAGCTGTTGCTGATCTCTAAGCACTTAATGGGAGAAGTGATCCTTCCTACTTTTTTTTGGGGGGGGTGTCTTTTTGAGACAGGGTCACCCCTGTAGACCAGGCTGTCCTTGAACTCAGCGATCTGCCTGCCTCTGCTTCCTGAGTGCTGGGACTAAAGGCATGCACCACCATGCCCTGCCTCCTTACTTATGAAAATAAATTTTTCACTGATAAGGTTTGGAGCCATACATTGGCTTACTTAATGGTTGTAATCAGTCACATTGGAAGATAGCACCCATAGGCATCCTGGGATCTCAAACTTGGATGCATACCTAAGCCAGGTAAATAGGAATAGAATGCCTCTGTAGACCTGGCTTTAAGAAAATACTGTCAAATCATTAAAATGTTACATATTGCGTTCATGGTGGCGTCATACTTGTCTGGTTGCATATATTCATTGTTCAACTATGTGAGATTCAGAGAAGGTGGATTAAATTCCCTGAGGTCATTTTGTTAGCAAGTGGTAGAATGAAATTCTGAACATGGACTCCTGTGTTCACTACAATGTCAGGCACTGGAGGTCCAACAATGAACAGAAAGTGTCTCAATTTGAACCTTTACCATGGTTCTCCATACAAATGGATGATCAAGTGTTACATGGCTAGCTAACAGTGGAGTCACATTTGGCCATTTCACCACACTGCTTGCTTTTTTATTAATTTTTGAGGGGTGAGGGGTTGAGACCAGGTCTCCTTGTAGCCCCAGCTGGCAGGAACTATGTAGACAGGCTGGCCTTGAACTCACAGAGATCCTTCCTCTGCTTCTGAGTGCTGGGATTAAAGGTGTGCACCACCACGCCGGGCACACATTGCTTTCTTTTCAAGCAGCCTTTCCAAAAGCACCTGTTGAAATTTACTGACTGATTTCACTACTTTCAACCTTAGATTGCTCTGGAAACTCAATGACCAATTCTTTCGACGTCTTCTAAAGACGTTACTTCTGTTGGAAACCTCAGATAAACTGCTAAGGATTGTATGCTGTTTGCACCTTATGTTTGGTAGCCATTATAGTGTTTTTTTTGAGAATTTAAGAAATACCAGGCCCTGTTTCCAGACCCTTCTGTAGAAGGCCAATCCTGATCTGAAGACCTTGGTTCTATGTGCACAAAATAACATTTCCTGGAAAACACTTGGTGTCTTAACTGGCACCTGTAAATTCCTCCTTACTGACTACCCTGTGTAAACGTTGGTTCATTACTTTTCAAGCCATCTGCCAGCATATTTGTTATGTGATGAACATTTGTAGTGTGATTACAGAAAAATAAAACCACTTCTTTATTTTAAACAACAACAACAAACTTCCCCATACAGCTTTTCAGGCTGAAACCTTTCTGTAGATTTTAGAATTCTTTTTTGCGCCTGTAATTTTCGTATGCAAAACAAAACAGTACTGTACAAGTCAGTTCACTTTAAATAGCTGTTTGAATCTAATTTGTGACCTATGCCATGAGGATCTAGCTTTGTGAAACAATAGATTCAGATTGGGATTCCTGAGGATTAAACAGCAGGGTTTTGTCCTAAAATTTTTTAGGAATCCTATCTGTGTTTCCTTGAGTTTGGTATATCGTATTGAATGTCTCAAAGGAGAGAAACCCTGCTGCTCCCATTCTGCAGGTCAGCATTTTCTTGGCGTGCAGCATAAAATGATCAGCATTTATAGATTACTTTTTGTGGACTTACTTGGGCAGTAGACAGTCTAATGGAATGCTCTAAAATTGTTAACTATATCTACTCTCAAGTCATTTATAACCTACTTGCTGGTATTCCTGGTATGAATGAAGATGTTTGCTTAATAAATCTCTACTACATATCCTGACTTGGTGGTTCATTTCTACTTATCCAAGACAGATAATGGAATTTCCTAATAAGGGAGAAAGTATTCACCTGCTTTGGAAAAGACATGTCTGGTTTTCTTGCCTACTTGTGACAAGGTCTTGATATGAGACTTGTCTCAAATTTTGAACCCTCCTACCTTAGCCTTCTAAATGCTGGGGTTACAGCCCTGTTGTTCATAAAGTTAGTGTAGTATTATTGTACTTTAAAAGAACTCTAGCTGGGCATGGTGGCACACGCCTTTAATCCCAGCACTGGGGAGGCAGAGGCAGGTGATCTCTGTGAGATCAAGACCAGCCTGGTCTACATAGTGAGTTCCAGGACAGCTGGGGCTACAGGGAGACCCTGTCTCAAAGAGAGCCTTTGAAGGGCAGACTTATAGCAATCCACTGTCATTGGTAAAGACTGGATACTGGGCTGGAGAGATTGCTCAGCGGTTAAGAACACTGGTTGTTCTTGCAGAAGATCTGGGTTTGAAACCCAGCACCCACATGGCAGCTAACAACTGTCTATAACTCCAGTCCCAGGGGATCCGACAGCTTCTTCTGACCTCCTCGGGCATTGTATGATACAGGTGCACTTACCTACATGCAGGCAATACACATATACACATAAAATATTTTAAAAACATCAGGTTAGTTAAATCCTGCCTTACGGTGATCAAATGTTTGCATCCTCACTAAATGAAAATAAAATGGCTGGTTTTATAAGATGACTTCACACATTCCAAGCAGAGTTTCTTTAGGACATGGAATTGTATGTCTCTAAGATAAATTCTACAATCAAAGGCCTTGCCCTGAACAAATTAGAGACAAAAAAATCAAACTGAAGGAAACACATTAATGGAAAGTATGCTCCTGGAATAGGAATTCTCAGTTTTTCAACTGAAATATTAATTTCGCATGCCTTAAGTTTAGTTGGATGTTTTGACAATTGTGTAATAACATAATAGAAGATACAGTACATTACTATTAAGTTGTTTTGTATACCTTTAAAATCACCTTTGAGCCCACCATCCAGTGCTTGCTTGCTGGCTAAAAAAAATACATTTTTATTCTGTGCATACGAGTGTTTTGCCTGCTTGTATATAAGTGCACCAATGCATTCAGTGCCCTTGGAGGCCAGAAGCAACATAGGATCCCCTAGAACTAGAGTTACAGATGGTTGTTAACCACTCTGCAGGTACTGGGAACTGAACCCAAGTCCTCTGCAAGAGCAGCCTGTGCTTTTAACTACTGACCCATCTGTCCAGCCACCACTTGCTGGTTTTTAATTACTAAACATTTGTTTGCTTGCTTTTGGACTTTATTTATTGGTCTTTTTGAAGCAAGGTCTCCCTGTATCCCCAGCTGTCCTGGAACTTGCTATGTAGACCAGG